CTTTAGTATGTAGTTGAGTTCAAAGAACTATATTATGATATTTTTTTCATAATTTTAAAAATCAATGAACATATAAGTACAGTATATACAGTATTAATTATATTTATTATATACGATTATTATACATTATTTAATAAGCTGTAAAACAAAAAAGTTGGTTATTTTTAAGAGGTCACTGGTAAATCAATAGATATAAAAAAAATTTTATTGAAGAAGACAAAATTTAACAAATAGGTTGAAATTTGTCTATTCTTAGTGATCTGAAAAGAGCCAAAAATTGTTCTTTTGTATATACTATTATTAATATACTGATTTAAATACTAAACCATTAAGTCAAATGTTTTATCATGACATACTGTGTTTATAGCTATTAATTTAAAACAATGTATTTATTTAAGATGCTTCTGTTTTCGATTAGTATTAAAGAATTAATAATAAAGTTTTTGTAGTTTGTTTGCAGAATTTTGCAAGAACATTTGATTAAGAAATAAAAAGATTTCATACTGTTAACAAATTTTCGAGCAACAAAAAATCGAATGATTTCTATATTATGCTTTATAATTTATTTCGTAATTTACTAGAGGATGCATTGATATTGAAGAACAAATCGTATTCCTCCGAAAACAAGAACCCTTTTTGCTATAATGTTGCTTATTTTCGTGAATGATTTGATATTTAGTTACTTATTTCTATTGTATAAGAGGTGCTTGCTTTCGGCTGCTTATTTTCGGAGGAATACGGTAATATTTAAATTTTATTTATAGCTAAATTTATATTCAGGTTAAAAAAAAAATGAACATAAGTTTCTTCTCATATTATAATCACATACAGTATTAGATAAAATATTTGATAAATGTTAAACTGAATGATTAATATTTATGACCGACAAAATCTTGATAACCCTTCAAGTTCGGTTAAAATAAAAAAAAATTAGAAACTTTGAGTGAAGATATCTCGACAACTATCTGCTTGAATCTGATAAAACATTTTCATTTGAATTCCATGGATTCATAGAATTCAAATAAATGTGGTTATCGAGATATCTTCGCTCAAAATTAGAGAAAAATCGCAACAAGCAGATCCTCGATTTACGGCCGAGCATCTTCAAAATTTTGGCCCGCATTACATAATTGTTTACTAATTTCCGGCCGGAATAACCCTTAATTTTTTATTTACAAAAATAGAAATTTTTAAAAAATAAGCCCACATTATGGTAAAATTGGCCCAGGAACAATTTTCACCTAATAGACGGTTGCGATTTCATTAGTAAAACTATGAGTAATTCCGGCCTAATTTTTTGATCGTGCCATGACAATTTTGTTGCAACAGTTATGGTTAATATTAAAAACGAATGTTTTGCACCTAAACTATAAATGTCAGACTTTCCACCACGTTTAATTTTTCGTCAGGATAAAGAAAATATCTTGGTTCATTATATGCAGGCAAACCTTTTATACACGAAGTTGGTGTTGTGCTGTCCATTTTTTTGATACAGTTAGACCTCTCTAAATGCAATGCGACAGGACTATATGTAAAATTTAGCCAAACGAGCACTTAGAAAATATTGCATTTAGGGAGGGAAAAATCTATAGGCATAATATTAGTTGGGCCAGAGAAGACGCATTTAGGGAGGTTTTTCATAGGACGTGCACTTAGGGGGTTGCATTTATGTGGGGGTCTGACTGTATTCCAAAATCCGAAATTAAAATTTTTACCATCATTAATTAGAATATTGTTAGAATGCTAGAAAATTAAGGTATTATGTAAATAACTTGGTATATTAAAAATAAATGACTTATAGTTTTTTACATAGGCAAACTACCCACCAAATACTTTTTTTTTCGTTAACCCGCAGGTAATTTCAATTGCGATGTTAATAAGTCTAGACCAAGAAATCTCAAATTTACCCTCTTTCGATTTTGATTGTAAATAATTCGATCATATTTATCAGATTTAGCAACTTTTGTAAGGTTTAAACGGATTTCTTTTGAGGAGGATTTTCCACGAACATGAGACATTGTTTGAAAAATTTTCTTATACGATTTTTTTTTTTGAATTTTTTAATCATAATACATTTAAATTACGCAGTCGAATCATAATTACGTCACAATGTATTAACCCATTTTTTAACAGATTAAAATCAAACAAACATTTTTAAGATCGTGTTTTAAAACTACGTTAAACTAACAATATTTAACGGTTGTTCCGTCCAACTTGTAAACAATACATATAATAATAAATTGTCTTTCTAAATACGAATTTACTTTGATATTATTTAGAAGTACACATTAAAGTGAAGACGTGAATAAGTAAATCAATGCAATATACTTAAGAGTGGGTTCGATTACTGTTAACGACAGAATTAGAAATACATAATTGGCTTATTTACATCCCAAATCTGTCATGCTTGGCAGGTTATCGGAGCTTCTAAAATTAATATGATGCTAACTTTATTTACTGGTAAAATAAATTATCCAATGATCATTGCAATTTTTTTTAAGGTTCTGCCAACCAAGATGCGCGGGTAACACAAACCAAAAAGGAAATCGAATTTTGTAAACAACGATAAACTAAGTGCGTAAAAATAGAAGTTTAGGGTTAGACGTTAGAGTTGAGTTTCGGAATTTTTTATATGTAAAATTTTATCCCGTTATTTTTTATTAGTCCACCAAGGTCGATTTAAACGCTTATATTCGCTTTCTTTTCTTTTTTTCTTATTTCGCACGTGTTCTGATTTTATGTCGGGTTGATCCGGAATACCCAAAATTTATGTTTGGCCATTTCCTTTTAGAGGTTTGTATTACCCGCGCTGCGTTCAATCCTTTGTGATACGTATAATAATATAAAATGAACTCCTGACAGTCATCTGTCCTTTAAGTCAAAACAACATAATCTACGCAAAGATGTTCAAAAGCGACGGCCAGAATTCAATTAATAACTCAAGTTATGCCATTGCTAGAATCCATGCCCTCCAATGCGGTAAATGCCGAGCCTAAACAAGAACAAAATCATATAATAATTACATCCAAATTACCCCAATGATTATGGGTTCGGTTAGGCTATAGCCGGCTAGCTGACCGGCTATAGCCGTAGTCGATGATAGTCGACTAGATCGGCTTAGCTGACCGGCTAGCCGATACCAAATTTTTTATTTCCTGGCTGATAAATCATAATTATTGCTTTAATTCGGCATGAAGTGCTCAAATTACATAATTATTGCAAGAAATACCCTAGTTGTTCGTCACAGCAGATTCTCGATTTTGATTGGCTAAGAGCGACGATAAAAAATTTAGGCTGAAATTGCTCGAAATTTTACCAATGAAATCACATCTGCCCATTAAGTGAAAAATGTTCCTGAACTAATTTTACCATAATGGAGGCCTATTTCCCTAAAAATTTATATTTTTGTAATAAAAAAGTTAGAAACTTAATTCCGGCCAAAAATTACGTAGCAATTGTATAATGCGGGTCGAAATTTTGTAGACCACGGCATTTAGCTATGAATCTAAATTGGTGCGACAGTTAAGGTGTTTTATTGTAAGATACTAAAAAGACAAGCATTTTTTGTCGATGATTTGCAATACAGAATTTCAAAACAATCTAATTCTGGTCAAATTTGCAGATCGTTTGGCCTACTGGGGTTAAGACCCTAGCGTAACCAATCTAAAAAATTTCGATGATCATGTGATAGGCTGATCAACTACTAAAATTAGGCTTTTTATTTTTTTTTATTTTTTTTAGCGTGTTTTTTTCTTGCGTCATTTTTTGGAGCCTCTTTTTTTCAGTTGCTTTTTCAGCACTTCTTTTGTCGCTTTTTGGTGATTTTTTGACATGCTTTCATCATTCTTTTGGAGTTTTCCATCATTTTTTGTTGTTCTTTTAGTGCTTTTTTGATTCTTAATACTTTTTTCATGGTCTTTTTTTTTTTTAGGTCAATGTTTCCTTTTGTAATTTTTTCACTTTTTCATCGCTTTTTTGGTGCTTCTTTCATTATTTTTCGGTGATTTTTTGGTGTCTTCTAGTATTCTTTCATCGTTCTTTTAGTGGTCTCTTCATCATTCTTTTGGTGATTCATTTTACTGGGAATTCGACGGTGTAGTTTGCATTGGGTTAGGGTTAGTAGCACACCTAGAAAAGTTGTTTTCTTTTGTAATTTTTACTGAGAATTCAATGTTGTAATTTGGGGTTGGGGTAGGGTTTGGGTTAGGAGTAAAGTTTCTATTAGTAAAATTTTAAAAGAAGCATTTTAATTAGGCCATGGAGGATGGTTTCTTAATAGTTATTTTTGTTTTTTTTTTGTAAAAAATAGCTATTGTTAATTTTAATAAATAAAGAATTTTTTTTTTATTAAAAAATATTAGTTTTAAAAGTTGTATAATTTTCTTCTTTTTTTTTTAAATATCTTAATGGTATCGTCATTAAGAAAAAATTTTGATTGGCCAGCACGTGATTAGCGAAATTTTTTAGGTTGGTGACACTAGGGTGGTTTACTGGGTCATCCCAGGGAATAAAATTCAAAGTCAAGTTTGATGCGCAACATGCACCAAATTTTAGATTCAATGTGCGCAAAGTTCGATATAGTAGAACAAGTCTAACTGTATAGCGCACAGCATTATATTTTATTTGTGCGCAAAAAAATTTTCTGTGTGCGGAGCACATCGAATTTTATTCACTGGTCATCCCAATAGGCCAAGCGATCTGCAAATTTAGATTGTTTTGAAAATGTAGATCGGGATCTTCAGTATTTTGATCATTTTGATTGGCTGTTTATAGCATGTGGCCCGAATTTTTTTTCACCATGGCTAGGGTACTCTAATATGTATGACTGTATAACATATAAAAATATAATTATTTGACACTTGTTTATATGTTTGATTGAAAAATTTATTAAGAAACTGATCAATAATTTATCGGCTATAGCCGGCTACTAGTCGATAGTCGATGATAGCTGACCGATAGCTGACCGTAGCTGACCGAACCCATCCCTACCAATGATCGATATGATCGAGCTTATCTCTAAAGTTCCCGATGGCAGAATTCCCGCGAAAGCACCTAATGAATTTATCATTTATAGAAAAGTTTGTGTAGAAACAACTCGCGAGAACAGGCATTATTTGCCAATGACTATTGTATCTTCTATGGCGTCACGAAGCTGGGAATCTGCTGACAAGACTGTCAAAGCCGAATATCGTCGAATAGCTAAAGAAGCTTTGAGGGTACGTAACGAGATGTACCCCAAATCTGGAAGACGTAAAAGAAAAGATAGATGGAACATCGTTAGTTTCGATCCGCCAGCACCTCCTTTAAATAAAAATGAGAGAAGACGTAAAAATAGAAGTCTTAATACAAAAAGCATTAAAGAGACAATAAACAATAAAAATATTGAACCTAGAGATACTAGATCTATTTTCACCAAACAATCTTTCGAACTCCGATTCCGCATTATTATATCTAGCTGATACAGATTTTAATGCTAATAATGCTTTTAATTACCAAATATCATCAAATTAGACATCAATAAATACACCGTCTATATCGAATGTTTTTATATCCGTATCCTCAGCTCTCTAAAATGGGAGAAGTTGGCCATTTTTACATTAAGCTCTTTCAACTTTTTTTTAATAAATTCCGTCAGTTCTAACACTAATTATTTACAGTAAAATTCATGATGTTAACACTCCATGTGAATGTATAAATTATAGCACAGAAGCATACATGTTTTTTTCGGCGTTAAATGTTCTTGGATAACATTTTGATTTGGCCTGTTTCTTTTCTTTCTTCTCTGTTTCTTTTTCTTCTCCCAGATTTAGGGTGCATCTCGTTGTGAACCCCAATGCTTCTTTAGCCATTCGACAGTACTCGGCCTTGACAATCTCGTCAGCAGATTCCCAACTCTGTGACTCCATAGAAGATATAATAGATGAATCGAGATTCGAAGGATTGTTTGTAAATACAGGTGTCGTGTTTGAATACATTTTAAAGGATAGATCAAGTGTAGAAATTATGTTATGTGAAGATGCAACAAAGATAACGGGTTTAGTATCTCTAGGTTCAATATTTTTATTGTTTATTATCTCTTTAATACTTTTTGTATTAAGATTTTTTATTTTTATGTCTCCTCTCATTTTTATTTAAAGGAGGTGCTGGCGGATCGAAACTAACGATGTTCCATCTATCTTTTCTTTTTCTTCTTCCGGATTTAGGGTACATCTCGTTAAGTACCCTCAAAGCTTCTTTAACTATTCGACGATATTCGGCTTTGACAGTCTCATCAGCAGATTCCCAACTCTGTGACGCCATAGAAGATACAATAGTCATTGGCAAATAATGTCCGTTCTCACGAGCTGTTTCTACATAAACTTTTCTATAAATTATAGATGCATTAGGTGCTCTCCCGGGAATTCTGCCATCGGGGATTTTTTAGAGATAAGCTCGATCATATCGAAATTTGGGTGTGATTTTGGTCTTGTTTAGACTCGGCATTTACCACATTGGAGGACATGGATTCTAGTAATAGCATAACACTTGAGTTATTATTTGAATTCTGGTCGTCGATTTTGAACATCTTTGCGTAGATGATGTTGCTTTGACTTAAAGGACAGACGAGAGACACGACTGTCAAGAGTACATTTTATATTTCTTATGCGTGTCACAAAGGATCGTGATCTCTGACGTCATTGTTGGTTTTAAAAAAAGTGCGATGATCATGGGATAATTTATTTTGCCAGTAAATAAAGTTAGCATCATATTAATTTTAAATGCAGGAAAAACTCCCGATAACCTGCCGAGCATGACAGATTTGGGATGCAAATAAATAAACAATTATGTATTTCTGATTCTGTCAAACAGTAATGAACCTAAGTATATTACATTGTTTTTAATTATTTCACGTTTTCACTTTAATGTGTACTTCTAAATAATGTCAAAGTAAATTCGTATTTTGAAAGACAATGTTATTATTGTATATTTTGTTTACAAGGTTGCCGTTATTCAATAGTACCGTTAAATAATTTTTAATATCCTACTTTACGAATGAGGGTGGTTCAATGGTATAGTCTCGGAATTTGGGTAAGCTTTACCAATGGGGTTTCAAAATTAAAATCGGAATCTTATTTTATTTTCCGATTTATAATTCAATATCGATATAGTAAAAATGCTATTGAAAAAATCCTATTTATTTTCGAAATGCGCTAATTTTGAAACCCACCCCAATAGAAATAATTCGTTAACTGCAATTAAGGTCACAAAATCTCCGTAAATATGTCGCTATTAAATTAAAAACTATTAATTTTTCAGAGTAAATTTTGCATATACGAAAATATGAAAAATCAGACCTGACCTACTGTATCTATAAATGGTTCCGATTCTCAACTTCCAATATATTTCAATATATTGATTAAGACGTTATTTTATTTAGGAACTTTTGAAACATTATTAGGTAATTATTCTGTGTGTAACTACGTCTGCTGACTTTATTAAATCTCAGAACTTTTTTATTCTTCACGAGAATGACTACTTGAGGATATGTGGAATTTTGTAATGTATTTACACTAAATAAATTTCTGGTTTAACGTGGCTGAGATTTTATTTGTAACGCTTGAGGTTTTATATTTAGAGTCTGGGTTGATAAACAGTGTTGGGAACTTGTTTCAATTAAACAATAATGTAATAATAATTATCTAGAGTAGAGGTGCGAACTGAAATTCAAAAAGGAAATTAAAACAATGATGATTGATCATCATGTGATATTGTGGAAATGTAAATTAGTAAACCCCTTGAGATATGTAGCCGTTAAAAGAAAATGATTGGCTTAGCGAACACAAATACAGAAAAATGTCTTTAATTTTAATGATTATCAATTCACTAGGGTCCGGACAGAAAATAGAGAAAAAAAGAAAACAGGTATAATATATTTTAATGAACTGCACAAGTTTTACATGAAAATAAAAATTTGTATAATCGTGACTTTTTTTTTACTGTCTTGCAAGTGCAAGAACAACATCAAAATTAAGAGCAAGTAGACTACCGTATATACTGTACAACGCTTTTAAGTTTGTTATAAAGAAATGGTTGATAGCTAATCTGAGCGGCAAGTACGAATTTAGTAAAACCAGATTGAAGATCAAACGAAAGCAGAAAAAAGTATATTGTATATATTGATAAAACATGTTAAAGCCACGTTCAGTAACATAGCTTGTTTTTGGTTGAATACTATGTTTGTGCTTCTACCGATGACTTCATCTTTCACGAAGATTAGCCTATATTACAAAAAGTATCAGTCCAATTGTTTCTAAGCTAGGGAAAAAAGTTTATCGTTGCTGTATAGTTCTAATTTAAGCCCGCATGGCATAGGGCATGGACTGAAATTTTTTGTGGGATAGAGTTTCGCCAGGGTTCGACGTTTTGCCAAGAGATTTAGACTCTCGTCTTTTTTGGATTAAGATTTCGTCTTTCATCATTTTGAAAATATCGCTTAACAACTCTAAGGTTACCTTTATTTGGTGATACACGGTAATAAAATTTAGGAAGGCAAATGCATGTAAAAGTGGTTTTTTTTTTTGTTTATTTGTATTAGTATACAAAAAAAAAAAAAAAAAAAAAAAAAAACGGCTTTGTTACGTCCTAACAGGAATATATTAATACAGTGATCCGCACTAAATAATTACAATAATGGAATCTCTGCCCCACATGTGATGTTTCAAATGTGACTGTAACATACCTGTAACTCGTCATTACAGCATTAATAATTAAAATAAAACGTGACGTAGAGATGGTAAAAAAACGGTTTAAACAGTTTTTTAACCATTTTTTATTATTTTAAGACTTTTTTTAAAACATCGAAATCTGAGACAAAATTTTGCTGAAACTGAAAATATTGCTTCTGATTAATTTTAATTTTCAGCTGAGAAATTTTTTTTAAAAAAGGCGGGGCTATATAATCATGAATTTATTTATTAGATACAGTATTACATTTGATCGCCTTAAAGTTATCAATTGCTATTATTTTTAAATGTGATGTTTGCTTATCAGCAAATACAACCTTTCATTCTACTTTAGTTTTACATTTATTGGTATTGAAAGTCCAAGGTTTACAATATAGCCATTATGTAATAAGTTTTTTCGAATGAATTATTTGAAGAATCAGACCTGTTTTTTGAGTTTTTAATAAATCTTATATTTCTTGGAAATTGTTTTTTACATAATGAATGACCTTTTAATTGGTCATGGGCGGAGTTCAGCTTAATTTAGGCCGAAATTCAAAACTACACCCCTGCGCGTTATTACGGGCAAATACGGTAATAGGGTTTGTCTCGAATTAGAAATTTTTGACAGATGGGCGCTTTTCAATAGAAAGGGCGCTTTTCAATAGAAAGGGGTAGATCTCCTTTTTAGATCTGATCAACATTTTGAGAAAATCACGGTTTTGTTTTTGTGATCAAAACAATGATCAACCAGTCCGAACCAAATTGGGCTAGACTCATGTGATCGGAACTGTTGTCCGATTTATTCCAAAATTAAAACTACGTATCGGTTTTAATATTCACATTTATCAAGAATATTTAGATCAAAAATTATTTAATGCTTATTAATTCAACAACATAGGCCAAAATGAGCACTCTAAACACTCCGCTTAGGCCGGTCGAAGTTAATTTTTTGGTTAATATCACCCTCTCCTTTGATGTCCCCCGGTAAAATGATCATATAAAAAATAAAAAATAATTTAATTTCAAAATCAAATTAAATAATTTAAAATAAAATAATTTAAATTCAATCAAAATAAATTAAATTAAAGTTTAAACCCACGGCTTTTATGGCCCCGGCTAATTAAATAAAAAAACAAACTTTTTTTTTAAAAAAAACGAGAAAAAAGGATATTTAATAAAAAATAAAGCTAAAATTTTTAGTTCTTACTTGGTTGTCCTCTCATATATGCTTATTTCAGTTTGTGATGAAACAATTCAAAAAAAACTGCTGAAAAAAGAGCTTCCAAAGTGTTATTTTTTAAGCCATCTGATCAGTGATTTATTTCATTCAATGAGAGACAAAATT